TAACTCCCGACAGTACAAAGGAGTTTCTTGGATATTTAGTTGTCACAGATAACGACTCAGCAATTCTCAAGGTTACAAAGGCGCGTATAAAAAAAGTGCGTGCAGATATACGATAAGCGTTATCTAAGCCGTCGATACGGGCTCGAACCCTTGCTCGTGTGATTGGACAGTGTGTCGCCACGACAAAGGCAGTATTACCCGGTAAACTAAAATTGCGCGAGGCATATAGACTTCTCCGTACTAAGACAAACTGGGATTATATTTTTGTATGGTCAGAATCAGCACGTTTTGCTAATTAAGTCAATTAAACAGGACAGTATCATGTGACGGACAATATTTTGATTGTTATACGGGGATTAATCAGTTGATCAATGTTGTATTGTTTTACTTGCATATCAACATGCAGCGTAATTATGTTACAATGTGTATTAAATTCGTCTTAAGAGTCAAATGGTTTAATTATAGTCACGCCAGTTTGACTTTAAATAGAGTTATAATGTTTCATATTTTCTCAATTCCTTAACGTGTTTAAATCTCACTATAAGGCAATTGTTCATAAATAATATGTTTTATTATTTATTTATTTGTTGTTGTTCCCCTATTTGACGTAGGTTTAGGTAAAGCGTAGTCAAGGGAAACAACTCTAACTTACTTCTTGCTAGGCCACCTAGCGTCAGTTCTTTGCTTGACGGTTTTGCATATACATCCACTTGATTGTTATTAAGGATTAGGGATTTCTATTTCGGATGGAAATACCTATTGTTATTGTTATGATTTTTCTTCTTATTATTATTATTATTTCCACAGATCTTGTTAACACTTTATCCTATGAATGAACAAAGATATAACGTTCATATTTCAGTACATTATAAAGGTCAACGATCTCATGACACTCTAAGAAAATCATGGTCATAAATTTAAAGGTCAAGGTCACAGATCTATAAATAGAGATTTTTAAAACGTTTTTCGAACGTCTATAACCTCAAACTGTTTGTTGTATTGTGATTTTGTTTCCATATTTCATGTAGATCTTGGTCGGGGCTAACTTTTTTCTATGACATGTTTTCAGAGAATATGTCAAGTTCGAGGCCTCGCTACGCGGTCAAATAAAGGTCAAAAATTAAAATATCAAAAAGAGTTGTTTTCCTACTGATCGTAAAGAGCACGATCTCAGGAAGGTATGTGATAAGTTTCATGATCATTGCATGACAAATGACGACGATATGCCACTTTGAAAAATGTTCATTTTCCCGCCCAAATTCAAATTTTCAAAAAAGTACACTTTAATTTCTTCTCCTCCGTTTTCCTAAGGCCTACAGTGTTGATATTCGGCACATAGCATGTATCCTTGACTACAAAATGAACACATATCGTTGACCTTGACCTTCATCCAATGTGACAGGGGTCAAATGATAAAAAAAACTTAAATTTTCAAATTCTTTCAAAACAATTTTTTTTTACACTACACCTTTAAGATGGCCCTCTTAAGAGGGTATTTTTAAAGTTTCAAGGTCAAATCATCATACTGCACATTAAAAGATAAAAGGACAGATGATTTCTTAAAGAATGGTCAAAATGCTTTCGTCAAACTGTACAAAGGGAAGTGTAACCATCATCAAACCTACTGTTGTTTGGTGTAATGTGTCCAAATAACAGAGCTGTCATTCACCAGGACTATCACTGTGTGTACTGAGGTTTGGTGTCGCTTGGTCCAAATAACAGAGCTGTCATTCACCATTGACCCAGGACCATCACTGTGTGTACTGGGGTTTGGTGTCGCTTGGTCCAAATAACAGAGCTGTCATTCACAACTCAGTAAGTAACGTCCCTACAAAGGGGAGGGAGACAGGAGAAAGAACACTGAACAACTTTCTATCAATGCTGACTGTTCAGAAATAACTTGACCCTATGGTAAGGTTGGTCAAAGAAGGGAAGCGAAGGGGAGCGAGGGGAGGCGTTCGTCAGTCCGAGAATATATCTTTGATCAATTTCCTGTTGGAAATCCCGTGTTTTGATCATGATCAAATCTAGTTGTTATTGTTCCGTTTCTTCCTTATTAAGTCACCCCGAACGAAGTCGGGTGACTTGTTGTTATTGTTCCGTTTCTAACTTATTATTCTTATTATTATTACTCCCCCCTAAAAAGTTTCCGCGTTAAATCTCAGGAACTGCAAATGGGAATCTTATCATACTTTGCATATATAATCAGTACAATTTGTAGTTGTGCATCTGACTCTTATTTTTCCGCGTCATCCATCCAAGACGGCCGTCGCTGCTCTGATTGGCCGAAATCATATCCAATAATAACATTCATTCTATTTGACGGAACTTAATGAAACTTGGTGAAAGGGATGATAACCTCACAGCGCTCGTTTTCGACAAACAATATTTCACTTTGAATTCAAAATGGCCGCCAAATCCAGGCTTCTGATTGGTCGAAATTTTAATATCGTCCAATTTCGATTAAAGTTAGTATGTAGGTGAAGTATGGCACTACGAACAAAACTATCGTGTTTGTTTTGTAAAAAAAAAAGATGACTGCTATTTCCTGGCCTCTGATTGGTCAAAATTCCAATATCGAAGTCATATCCAGTAATAACATCCGTTCTATTTGATGGAACATAATGAAACACGGGGAAATAATGGGGGAAATGATGATAACGTCACAGCGCTCATTTTCGACAAACAATTACTTGACTTTGGATTCAAAATGGCGGTTAAATGCAGGCTTCTGATTGGTCGAAATTCAAATCTCGTCCAATTTCGATGAAATTTAGTATGTAAGTGTAATATAGCACTACGAACAAAACTACGGTGTTTGTTTTGTTAAAAAACAAAATGGCTGCTATTTCCTGGGCTCTGATTGGTCAAAAATTCAGCGCAAAATCATATCACCAGTAATAACATTCGTTATATTTTATCAAACATAATGAAACTCGGTGAAAGGGATTATAACGTCACAGCTCTCGTTTTCGACAAAAAAAACAATTGATTTTGGACTCAAAATGGCGGCCAAATGCAGGCTTCTGATTGGTCAAATTTTTAATATTGTCTGATTTTCATGAAATTTGCTATGTAGGTATATCATGGGACACCGGTCACTTTAATTTCCTACCTCAGTTTCACTGTTCGACAAAATGGCTGCCATATTCTGGCCTCTGATTGGTCGAGATTTTAATATCGTCCAATTTTGATGAAATTTGGTATGTAGGTGTAGTATGGCACAACTGCGGTGTTCATTTTGTGGAAAAACCAAATGGCTGTGTCCTAAGCTGGGGAGGGGAGACTTCCGCTATTGCTCGCAAATGCAATTCTAGTTCTTATTATTATTCTTCCGCCGCTTTTATCCGCGCTTAACTACAAATGGAATTCTGTTCAAACTTTGCATACATAATCAGTACGATATGTGGTTGTGTATCTGACTCTTATTTTTCCGTGCCAACCATCCAAGATGGCTGCCGCTGCTCTGATTGGCCGAAATCATTTCTAGTAATAACATTCGTTCTATTTGATAGAACATCGTGAAACCTGGTGAAAAGGAAGATAACATCCCACCGATTGATTTCGACAAAAAATATTTCATTTTGGATTCAAAATGGCGGCCAAATGGAGGCTTCTGATTGGTCGAAATTATAATATCGTCCAATTTTTATAAATTTTGGTATGTAGGTGTAGTATGACACTACCAACACAACTGGGGTGTTCGTTTTGTGAAAAAAAATAGCTGACATTTACTGGCCTCTGACTTGTCCAAATTAAATTCAATATGTAGGTATATATCATTGGACACCGGTCACTTTCGTAAACTGAGTTTCGAAATGTTATTCAAAATGGCGGCAAATGCAGGCTTCTGATTGGTCGAAATTTTAATATCGTCCAATTTTGATGAAATTTGACATGTAGGTGTAGTATGGCTGCGTACAGGGAAGGGGTGACTTCCACTATTGCAATTCTAGTTATGTTTTGATTTGTATGTGCAGCTCAAGTAAAGGGCATAGGCAATTGTTTATATCTGTTGTTGTTCCCCTTTTTGATGTAGGTTTATGTAAAGGAGTTATCACCATATAAATGTTGGAGAAGAAAATGTGATGTAGGTATACCTTCCTCGAAATTCCAAGGATTACTCTGACTAACATTTTCTTCATGATGATCACCTCACGACTATCTCATTACGAATTCGAATGCGGCTAGTTTGTTTCTTGTATGTATATCAAAAGAATCACCCGGCAGCGTAATGTTAAGTTTGACTGGTTTTGAAGTCAAGTGCCGCTCCTCTGTAATCTGCAAAGGTCAACCTAGCGATTGGTTACCTTTTATATCATTCAAATAAATAACCTCGTTCATTCCATTTCGCCATGACATATTCCAGGGGTTTAGATAAAGTAAGTGAACGTAATTCCTACAATTTCGAGGATGCAATTATGTATTTATGTGTAAAGGAAGTTCGGCTATAGTTAAACGAAAGTCTGTAAGTATGTGATAGCGATTTAGTTCAAAATATAAATGACTGACGTGAAGCATTTATTTCAAACTTCATTTTAGAAATTAATATAACACCCAGTATAGTACGATATGAGGTGATCCACACATCCAAAAGTGAAGGTAGAAAGTGGAAGTGAGTGTTGACATTTCGCAGGATGTTGTGATTGGTCAGAAAGCAGCACATTTAAAACTAGTTTTCATTTGATGTAATAATAGGATCGCTTCATTTATGAATCAAATATAAAGATCTGCAGTTAAAATATTTGACGTTAAAGGACAATGATGCAAATTGCGGTCAGTAGGCACAACAGAACAGTTCCAAATTGATTCGAGCAAACGAACATTAATGCTTGTTTAAAAATGTAAAAAAACCACATTTGATTTATAACCTGATAAGTTATCAAATCGAGATATATATGCAACTGTATACGGATGTGTGTTAATGCTATCTAAACAAAAGCAAATTATAAATTTGATGCGTATTATTGTTTTGATGACCACGTGCTTCGTATACGTACCACATCACTTAGGACCGTTGCCAGAATCCCAAGTTTGGCGCCACACAATTTGGCGTTCCTGACCTGTTGTTGAAACACCTTACACGTACCCCATTCAATGTTCTCAAATATGGTCGCTACAAGAAAAAGAGTTAGCCCATCAACGTACCATCTTCAAAAGCTTTTTATAAGATTGATTTTTCCTCTACTTTTCTCTTATGTGCTGGATTGAATCATGTTAACAGTAAATGCATCTTGTGGCAACATACTGCTGTGTATAATATTGTTCTTTCAAACCAAGGTTGTCGTTTGAACTACTGACTGGCAAAGAACTTAATGTGTAGAAAGGGGAACCTTAATTTTGAATTTTTGGTAATTTAAAAATCAAAGGTGGCTGTCTGGCGACCATTTTGATTTTCTAATCAGCCTCAAAAGAAGTATGCGCAACTCGGGACCTATAAAACTCAACACATACAATTTAATGAACATCTGTCAAGTACTTCTACAGAAATGATAACAAATTGAAGTCAATAGTTCCAAAAAATAATATGCATAAGTAAGGGCCATGGGGAAACTGACGTGTATAATTCGTGAACGATCCCTTCAGAAATAGCGCTTACAAATGTTAATTATCAAAAATTAAAGATGGCGGCCATATAGGGTTTCCTATAGATGCATAGTAGAGTAGTATCATGTGGAATTTGAGACATTACTTTCCGATCAGTCCCAAATTTCGGTATTCGTAACTAAGGTCCATATGAGAATAATCACTCAAGCGCTTGCTTGGAAATAGTGCTTACTTACTTTAACTCTCAAAATTCAAGTTGGCCACCTGTCGGGCATTTTGTTTTTCCGATCAGTTCAAAATTTCAATATGCGTTGCTAGGGACCATGGACAACCTTTCTTTGAGATAAAAGAACGATCCCTTCAGGATGTTTTGAGCAATACCGCTAAAGGGAATTGTATAAGGACAGGTGGACGGAAGACGACGGACCTTGGACGAACGTGATGATGGTGGGAAAATGAAATGACAATGCAAACAATGGCTAGTTTGTATTCTGCAATTTATAACATTCTCTTAAAGAACGGAGTATAAGCCTGCTTACTCATGCAAGTACATATCCATGCTGTACCTTTAAGTATAAAAGCTGCTATAGCAAAACGAGGGGCAACAACAGTATTATAATATCTTTAAATGGTCTTTAAATAAAATTCAGTTTTTTTTCTCTCTTTTCCCTGTGTGTAAGATAGAGCTGCCAAGGGTAAGAAAGGGTTGTAGGAAATTTCTATCTGACACTCCATTTCACGTGAGGGCTCAACAATGACGTGTCGTCACGAATTTGGAACTCTCCGATGTCGCAATGCGGAAAAGGCGACGTAAGGAAATTAAAACCTTTAACGAAATATTTAATGTAAACGTTAGAAAGGTGAAATTATTTTTTCTGCGCAAATATGAGATATGCTAAATCTGGCTGGCTGATTAGTTTTCGTCTAAAAAGCTTACTTGAAAAATTGACATTTTCAAAATGGTGGCCAGTCCAAACGCATTTTCATGGTTTCTGAGCTTATTTTAGTGGTTGAAATGAGTGAAAAATACTCGTTCATGCTAAAGAGTGTGAAGATAGGGAAATTCCACCCGAGAGATTTTCAAATTTGGTAAAACCCGAGGCTTACATAATAATAATATTAAACAGCATTTATATAGCGCCCTATATAATTTGTAAAATTACTCTAAGGCGCTTTACAACACATTTCAACCACTCTTTCATTCCAGTCCCATCGGGATTTTCAAATTTGGCAAAAACCTCGGCAAAGCCTCGGGTTTTACCAAATTTAAAAATCCCTCAGATGAATTTTCCCTATCCTACACCCTTGAGCATGAAAGAGTATTTTTCTCTCATTCCAACCACTCTCTCATTCCAATCCCTCGGGTGGAATTTTCCTATCCTACACCCCTGGACATGAAAGATATCTTAAAGAAATATTTAAAACATTTAATGTATTGTCTGCATACAAATGTAATACATATTTGGCTGTTGTACAGAAAAAGGGGATACTTGCCTTGCAAGTTTGACAAATTCCTTGTCTGCACTGTCGTTATAACGTATTTGCTCATATACACTCAAATATGTATGTTTCAATATACACATGCATACAGGTCTCGATAGTTATAACGACAGTATAACTAATCCAATATTGGCACTAAACAAATGCTCGTTGGAGAAGCAAAGAAGTTAGTTGTCAAATTTTCAGTGCATTCCGACCCTTTTTCAAGACTGAAACATGAACACTTACATATAACAACATATTACAAAAATAAACGGTCCCTATAAAACAATAAGACAACATAAATGCATAAACAAAACCTATCTATCACTTATGAAATATGCTGATGTTAGTTTAAACAGCATTTATACAATAATCAGGCAATAGTGTTATATACAAGTTGTTTCAGGTAAATTAAAAGAAAGAGGTGAATAAGGGAAGTGAAAAAAATATATAAACGTAATTGTTCGTGTGAGCACGGCGTAAAAAAAATCTGCAGCCAATTGAAAAAATATGGAATTTTTCTAAACTATCTTAATCAATTGGAACTATTTTTAAATTGAGGTGTACTGTGCAGCTGATAATGCTCTACAAAAGTTATTTCAGCATCACACGATGAAAAAAAAAAAGACTTTTTTTCAGAAAAATACTTTCAAGCTGATATTCCAATTTTCGACCACCATGCTGTGATTAATAAAATAGAAATGTTTCTTAAAAAATAAAAGACATATATTATTGAATTAAATACACATTTAAAAATGTAATAGAGATCCCCATACATTTAGGATTAATGATATATCTGTATTGTTGACGAGAAATTTCTCAAATAAACGGAGACATATCTTGAATGTATTAAACGATCAATTAATTTCCATACAAAACCCATAACCCTCCACGCTATTAAGACAGCTCCCCACCAAAGCCATAGTGAGGTATTAAGAAGTAAGGCATTCAGAAACATGTCAGAATGACATGAAAGTCATCCCATCATTCTGTATGATCATTTTCCGATAAATCATTGACCAAGCTACAACGGACATATTTCCACCTGTCAATCAAAATGATAAATAATGACCAGCTGTTAATACATACATGCTGTTCATGTAACCATGCCAACACAAAGAATTAATAAGAAAGTATGTCGCAAATATAACGTTAGCGTTGACTGACACCTCGAATACGGGGAGATCTGCGCGCTGACACGGTCATCTGGCATGGGCAGAACAGGTAATTGGAATATAACGATGTTGTTTTCACAACAATAAGTTTCAGCAAAGATTCAATCTTATATACGGATAAATCTTTTGCATTTTTTGTTATGAAATACACTTTTCCAAGTAGTTTTCTGATCGTCTGCAAATCCGACTAAATCGATCATCGATATCGGCAGAATGTGTACGCTTTAAGGCAGTCACTCAAACAGGTCTGACGAGGACCGCCAACAGCCGAATTCGCGAGACATGAAGAACACTAAACAATTGTGATTTCAGCAATTCTCCTTTAAAAAGAAAGATCGGAATGTATCTGCGCGCTGACACGGTCATCTGGCATGGGCAGAACAGGTAATTGGAATATAACGATGTTATTTTCACAACAATAAGTTTCAGCAAAGATTCAATCTTATATACGGATAAATCTTTTACATTTTTTGTTATGAAATACACTTTTCCAAGAAGTTTTCTGATCGTCTGCAAATCCGACTAAATCGGTCATCGATATCGGCAGAATGTGTACGCTTAAAGGCATTCACTCAAACAGGTCTGACGAGGACCGCCAACAGCCGAATTCGCGAGACATGAAGAACACTAAACAATTGTGATTTCAGCAATTCTCCTTTAAAAAGAAATATCGGAATGTATTTGGCTGTTTTGAACCCGTTAATGTTTATTTTTCAAACTCAAACTTTTATCATTATCGGTTCAATTCGCATGGATCACCTTGTAAATTCCTGCCGGTTAATAGTATCACGCGACCTTGACATCTTTGCGGTAAACAAACTTGCTAACTTCGCCACTTTACCCGTGTCGTTTTGTCACATTCCTACTGTCAAGATTGAAGAGTTCATCATGATTTTACCCAAGAACGGCATTTTAACCACAGAGTGATAAATGCGATGCAATTCTTCGTTATGTTTCCTGATGCATGGCATTTATCAATTTACAACGTAACGTCCTGAAAAGTTGGGCCTACTTTACTCGAGTTTATTTATCTGATTCTATCGTATACTATGACTTAACCTTGCATCTTTTCGTAATTGTTAAATTGGCAATAGAATCAGGGATTATTCAACGAAATCTAGCAATTTTATTGCTGCGAGCATATTTAAAAACATTTCCGAAAATCCTCGAAAAATGTACGAGAATTGGTCGCGACCAAGGACTGGTTTTGGATTGTTCTTGAGTATCGTGTACACCCGTTTCTTGACAATTCACTTTTCCTTAAATAGTGCGCGCTATACTCAAATATTAACGGTAGTCGTTGGTCAGACATAAACTATCTAAATCAGTCACAATTTATTATACGACAGTTTACTCGTTCGGGAACCTCAACGGTGCCTGATTCATATTCGGAACATCTTTAGGTTATATGTTATTCCCGTGGGAAATTTGGAACGCCTTTAGGTTTTATCCTATTCCTGTTTAGAAAGGAAATCGGTATCTGAGTTATCCAAGAGCTTGTAATTAGGGCCTGGTATATTCTGACAGAAGCAAAACATTTAACAGCCCAAGACAACAGAGGTCGAAATCTGGGACTGAAACCGAAATTAATAATCCCCACTGGGGTCCCCCAGGGGTGACTAAAAAGAAATTAGAAAGGAACGAAAATATATAGATCTTAAATATTGCAGTTAGATCAGCAAATTCAAACACAAATCAACAATTCTGAAAGGGGTCCCACTTTAGTCATCTCTTACGAATCATGCAGTAAATCACGGTAGGTATATATTCATTTTCCAATCCCCGACCCGATGGGGTCATACATACATTTTTCGGATGTTCATGATATACGATATATAACATATATCATCTTTTTCTACACATATACTTCCTGGCTGTGCTTCAAAGATTTGTGTCGTTACTACCATATGTTTAGTTTAGATGTATAGATACAATTAAACACATATTTCATGTTTATGTCTACACATATTTCCCGGTTGTAGACAAACGTTTATTTACACGGTGAATATAATTTCCCGAATACATACACATATATTTGCACGCTGATCGATGGAATCCCACCAAATAGTAACCACCATCCTCTGCTTGTCCTAGTACCATATTTTGGTCCTCTCGCAGTTTGGTGAAAGACTCAAGTAATTCATGCTTCGTAATTCCTGGGATGTCTCCTCCTGTTAATGAGAAACTTGTGGTATTAACTAAAAACGTAATCACCATATTACAGTTGTTTCTTTTAAATATGTTGATAGATAATGTACTCTTTTACTCTTATATACAATATCAGGTCCAGTGTTTCACCCTGGGAATAAGACAACAGTTTGTACGACACCTACAGCCGAACTCATTTGTGGCTGGAACTTATCGGTTGTTATCCACCGATCAAATCAAAGCATCGAATCTCAGATTGCAACTCTGTACTCGTTTATTGCAAATGGAACTTTTTCATTTGGGCTTAAACTCTCGTAAAATATTTCCATGCGCGCACTGCATGTGTAAATTTTTATATGAAAGATGAAACTGTATGTGTGATATTGCCTTTTTATTAGCCAACTATCAGAATGTGGACTGTTCAAATCGTCGTTCCATCATGGTCCGTCTGTCGACCGTCCTTAAAAACAAGTCTTGCTAGTTGAGCGTGTTTCGTTTTGAAGCTGATCGGAAAAACAAGACGACCAACTGGCAGGCATCTTGGTTTTTTGAAAGTTCAAGTTTGTTTTCACTATTTCTCAGTAAAAGGCCTTTCTCATATTTTACTTTTGTTTTGTTTTTTGTCTTAAGTTGTGCATGCTTCATTTTGAGACTGATCAGAACAAGTTTCAGGGTTGCTATTTATCAAGAAGTACTTAAATAAAAGAGTCTATCTTATAAATACAAATAACATATAACACAGCTCTTATACATACCAATGCTTTCCACAGAAGCTCTCTTAAATACCATTACAAATACAGTAGCTCTCAAACTCTCAAAACTCCCAATACTATAAACCGTAGCCCTCAAAACTACCAATACTTTAAACCGTAGCCCTCAAAACTACCAATACTATAATTCGTAGCTCTTAAAACTACAAATACTATAAAACGTAGCCCCCAAAACAACGACCAATAGCATAATCCGTAGCCCTCAAACCTACCAATACTATAAACCGTAGCCCTCAAAACTACCAATACTTTAAACAGTAGCCCTAACAACTACCAATACTAAAAACAGAAACCCTCAATACTACCGATTATATAATCCGTAGCCTTCAAATGTACCAATACTTTAAACTGTAGCTCTCAAAACTACCAATACTATAAACCGTAGCTCTCAAAACTACCAATGCTATAAACCGTAGCCCTCAAAACTACCAATACTTTAAACCGTAGCCCTCAAAACTACCAATACTGTAAACAGTAGCCCTCAAAACTACCAATACTTTAAACAGTAGCTCTCAAAACTCACAATACTATAAACCGTAGCTCAAAAAGCTACCAATACTTTAGACCGTAGCCCTCAAAACTACCAATACTATAAACCGTAGCCCTCAAAACTACCAATGCTTTAAACCGTAGCTCTCAAATCTACCAATGCTTTAAACAGTAGCCCTCAAAACTACCAATACTATCAACCGTAGCCCTCAAAACTACCAATGCTATAAACCGTAGCTCTCAAAACTACCAATGCTTTAAACCGTAGCTCTCAAAACTACCAATGCTATAAACCGTAGCTCTCAAAACTACCAATGTTTTAAACAGTAGCCCTCAAAACTACCAATACTAAAAACCCGTAGCCCTCAAAACTACCAATCCTATAAACCGTAGCTCTCAAAACTACCAATACTATAAACAGTAGACCTCAAAACCTCCAATACCTTAAACAGTAGCTCTCAAAACTACCAATACTATAAACCGTAGCCCTAAAAACTACCAATACCTTAAACAGTAGCTCTCAAAACTACCAAAACTATAAACAGTAACTCTACAAGCTACCAATGCTATAATCATAGCCCTCAAAACTACCAGTACTTTTAACAGTAGCTCTCAAAACTCCCAATACTATAAACCGTAGCCCTCAAAACTAACAGTACTTTTAACAGTAGCTCTCAAGACACCCAATACTATAAACAGCAGCTCTCAAAACTACCAATACTTTAAACCGTAGCCCTCAAAACTACCAATACTATAAACCGTAGCTCTCAAATCTACCAATACTTTAAATCGTAGCTCTCAAAACTGCCAATACTTTAACCCGTAGTCCTCAAAACTACCAATGCTTTAAACCGTAGCTCTCAAATCTACCAATACTTTAAACAGTAGCCCTCAAAACTACCAATACTATCAACCGTAGCCCTCAAAACTACCAATGCTATAAACCGTAGCTCTCAAAACTACCAATGCTTTAAACCGTAGCTCTCAAATCTACCAATACTTTAAACAGTAGCCCTCACAACTACCAATACTATCAACCGTAGCCCTCAAAACTACCAATGCTATAAACCGTAGCCCTCAAAACTACCAATACTATAAACAGTAGCCCTCAAAACTACCAATACTAAAAATTCGTAGCCCTTAAAACTACCAATGCTTTAAACAGTAGCCCTTAAAACTACCAATGCTATAACCCGTAGCTCTCAAAACTACCAATGTTTTAAACAGTAGCCCTCAAAACTACCAATACTAAAAACCCGTAGCCCTCAAAACTACCAATACTATAAACCGTAGCCCTAAAAACTACCAATGCTATAAACCGTAGCTCTCAAAACTACCAATCCTATAAACCGTAGCTCTCAAAACTACCAAAACTATAAACAGTAACTCTACAAGCTACCAATGCTATAATCATAGCCCTCAAAACTACCAGTACTTTTAACAGTATCTCATAAAATTACCAATGTTAGAAATGTTGCTTTGTTAACCACTAATACAAAAAGAGTAGCTCTCATTACTGCCAATACTATACGTTTAAGTTTTTTTAACTACCAATACATAGAAAGCAACTTTCAAAACTTTAAATACTATCAAAGTAGCTCCCATACCAATATTATAAACCGTAGCCTATAAAACACACCCTACCTGTAACCTTTTATAGCAGTGTGTATACGCTCCCTATCGATAGGCGAGATCTACACCCTACCTGTAACCTTGTATAGCAGTGTGTATACGCTCCCTATCGATAGGCGAGATCTACACCCTACCTGTAACCTTTTATAGCACTGTGTATACGCTCCCTATCGATAGGCGAGATCTACACCCTACCTGTAACCTTGTATAGCAGTGTGTATACGCTCCCTATCGATAGGCGAAAACGTCACGGTCGAGCGACATACAAAATATGTAAAAAAAAAAAAAAAATACAAATCGCTCCCTCAGTCATAGCTTGTCAAAGGAACCAGTCTGTCTTGAAATGCTGCGTCACACTTAATACGTACATTGTTTGTGCATAAAGTAAAATGTTGATAGCCCTCCAGTAGTACTTCATGGGATTAGCGATTACAAAATGTAACTGACAAATCCATAATGTCCTCCTGTCAACCATCTTTTTCTCGCTATCATTCTTAATATTTAACATGTGTAACCATGAGGTATCTTGATGGGAAATTTTAGAGTAATAAAAAGAGACAAGACACTTTAACATTCAGTATTCTAGATGGCCACCGATCAGCTATTTATTTAGATGGATCTCAATATCAAACTTGAATAAAAAGGATAAAGATGAAGCTTTTTGTGATTTAAATAAAAAGAACGTTCGAGCGGTTAAAAAGAAATAGCGAAAAACCTGCCAAAAACTAAGATTTCTCCCTTGCAGCCATGTTGTTATTTTGATAAGTCTCAAAATCAGCCCACAACTGATGACCACGGGGAGCCAACACATTGTATATTTGAAACCCGAGAAAGATCGTTCATTTCTTCTAGCGAATTGTAGGAATTCTATAAGGACATATATATAGCACACTTTCTAAACATATCTCTCAGATTAGCACGATCTATTATTATTATAAACCTTAACTCTTATACTGACACAAATTGACCATCATAGTTACTCATTCAATACTTTAGATAATAGACAATGCATAGGCATAGACAATTATTAAATATTAATCAATTTAATTTTGACCGATGATGACGACGTTTTCTTTGCCCTGTGTGAACTTCCTAAGTACTGCAGTCTTCATCTTGTTGCCAAGGTCTCCATCAACCTGCTCCACCCACACAAGCCCGGGGATGTGGCGCCGCCGCCATCCAAGCCAGTACTCCATGTCCTCTGGGGATCCGCCCCGGTACTGAACCTCTACTTCACAGCCTCCGGACAGCGAGGAAGTGGACATAAGGTCTGACAGCGTGTCCAGTATGTGATCAGTCTGTGGAATAAACATGATCTAGGGTAAGTAAGTAAGTTATTTTCCATGAGCCTTACGGTAGATCCATGAGCCTTACGGTAGAAAGACCATATTGGACGACGGCTTGCTAAAAGTGACATACATTATACGCAGCAACCTAGAAATATCGGACACATTTATAGAGACACGTAAGGAAGTGGCATATCATATACAGCAACATGCATCTATCTGACATATTATACACCCTAACCAATCTTTCTGACACATTTATAGAGACACGAACGCCGCGACATATTTTCTTCTTGTAATTTTGAACTGTATCAGACATTTTTAGAAATACCAATGCCGTGATATAGTAAACGAAGAAATCTATAACTTTACGACTGATTTATAAAGACACGAACGGCGTATTATACAAATCAATCTAGAATTTTCTGACGTATTTACAGTATTTCATAAGATGCCGATATCTCCTTCGACAAGATGTTAGGAACAAAGTAAGTCTCCTTTTTTCACATCAAAATACTGTGCAGAACATATTTTTTTTTTATTACAAACACAATATATACATACATATCCCTTAAAACTCAATGATTCAAATAAAATTTCGCTTTCTGGTAAATCTGTATTGGCGATGAGGGATTCTCAGCTGATCTACTAATGGCCAATTAAAACCCAAGGATGCTGAACTCGCCGCATTATTTTATAAGGAAACCATTCTTCCAATACCGTATGCACTATCGGATCTTACCAAATTGAAGACATGTACAAAGGACAGCAAATTAATTAACATGATCCCTTATCACAAGAAGAAGAAGACGAAGAAGAACATCGAATATTACAACACAGCGAGATAGGTCCAAAGAAACCAACTATAGCAAATTCCCGGGTCCCTGTGCCTGAAACCACAGGTAGTGACCTTGTGGTCTTTACCTTCGAAATAGCAATAGCCGCAGGTAACAGGGGTGACCACACGTTTAAACAATAATAAAGGTAAGGCGAGGTAAAAGCAAAGACCAGATGATAGTTTGGATTAATTCACTATCATTTAGGATAGTAAAAGCAGTGCTGTTTGTGCAATATCCTTTTCAAAATGACGGTCAAGAGAAAGCAATAAAGAAACTTTGGTTCAAGGCTGTTTTAAGGAGGGACTTGCATAAGTAATTAAGACAAATGAAAATTTGTAACTTGGGGTACAGCACGGAAAAAATATTATCTAAGTCCGTGGGTACAGCAATGAACATGATTAAGCGTACATATTGTAACAGGGTGCATATAATTTATACATGTATGTCGTGTTGATACATATAGCTAACGCTCCGGCTTCAATATCATTCATATAAATGCTGATTCAGTTCGCCATGACAAAGGGATTCCCAACAAAGTAGTTCCGGCTAATAGGTAAATACAACATTCCGTATTGCACATGTGTATGTCATGGTCTGAAAATTGCCTGTATTACTATAACAGGATTCAACAGGTATGTGATAAAAATCCGTTAATGGTCTACTATGAACTGCGTTTTAGGAGCGTGTTTACTTCCCCTGTCACACCTAGCCGCGTTGCCACTGCGATTGCACGGCGTTGTTAAATTTCCCAGAGCGCCGTGAGATTGCAGGGGAAAATTGATATTTTTCATGAAGATAACGACGTCACGGCGGTCTCACGGCGACCTTGGCGTTTCTACGGAGCTCCATGGCGTTCTACCGCGTTCCTACGCAGTTCTAGTTGGCGATTGTATGCGCTCCCATGGCGCTCTCACGGCGCTTCCACTGCGTGCATCGAGTGCCATGGCGCGTATAAGCGCGGTAGAGACGCAGTGTCATCTCAGAGAACGCCGTACGATCACCGTGCAAGCGCCACCGATACCCATTGCGTTCGCACTGCGACCTCTGAGCGCGCCCGCGGCGATCCTGTGGCGTTGTAGGAGACCTAACTGCGCTGCTACGGCGACCTCACGACGATCCCACTGCGCTCTTATCAGAACGCCGAGCGACGGCGTTTGTTTTGGGCATGCTCAAAGTGGGCGCCGTCGCTCGGCGTTTTATGCGATCCAACCGCGTTCACTGGCGATGCCACTGCGTTGCATGCGATTCCACTGCGCGCAGATCGATGATCTGGATTTGTCTTGGACGCCGTGGGAACGCGGCGCTAGTGTGACAGGGGTTTTACCAAACGGTTTGTGTGCGTTTGCGTTGAGTTTCCGTTGCGTTTGCGTTGCGTTTGTGTTGCGTTTGCGTTGAGTTTCTGTTGCGTTTACGTTGCGTTGACGTTCCCTTTCCGTTTCGTTTGCGTTCCATTTACGTTGTGTTTGCGTTTTGAACGGACAAGAAAAACGGTCCAGGGTCTGATACCACTGATATACCTGTTTATAATCACTAACTATAGACCACTGATATACCTGGTTATTATCACTTACTATAGACCACTGAGATACCTGGTTGTAATCACTAACTATTGACCACTGAGATACCTTGTTATAATCACTAACTATAGACCACTGAGATACCTGGTCAAAAACACTAACTATAGCCCACTGAGATACCTGGTTATAATCACTAACTATTGATCATTGACATTATACTTCCTCGGAGATCAAGTGTACTTCCGTTAAATATTTGAAAGATATTACCTGTATGATGTGTTTGCATAATTGAGACTGGTAAGTTTCGAAAACATCCTCATGATGGACACCGCTTTAACAAATTATTCGTAGTCATGACCTTACGTGTAGAGATATGATTTACGAAATTATATAAAATGTAGTTGTAGCCGGTTTTAATTGTACAAACTATTTTTAAAATTGTGCCTTCTCCAATTTTTACCCTGATTCTTTATAGCAACAATAATCTCTTCATTAACAATAGGACCATTGATGACATTGATAACATATTTATACAATGCATAGGTGTTTTCAACATTAATTTGGCATGTGATGTTTTAATTGAGAAATATTTTATATTCTTAAGGATTTGTAAATCTAAGATTCTTCATTTCTTTTTCTTTTTTACGTACGTCGCTTCTTATTGCTGGATATACACCAACACACGAAGCGTATAAGTGAACGAGCGTCCGACACAACTAAACAAAGCCACTTGACTTAATTAAACCGTCTTGTAGAAAAATCAACACAACACAACACCAACACAGATGCAGCTCCGAATGATTCTATGCTAAAAAAATGAATAGTCAACATCTCTAATAAGGAGCTCACCTGTAGCGAGAAAACGTTACTCGCTAAGGGTATGCACTATGCCATCGTTCCCGATAACATCCCAATTGGTGATTTTGTTATAGCCACAGAACAGGCATGTAAGAAACTAAGCTATGCTGAGGCTGATCAACTGGGATCCCAGGTGACGGGGATTTTGAAATCCACAAAATTACCAACAAGTAATAAGAAGAAAGAAGAACGGGTCGCACTTCAAAGATTAGGCAGATACAAATCCATTACCATACTACCAGCTGACAAGGGGAAGGCAACAGTTGTCATAGCCACCGACGATTATGAGCCAAGGTCACAATAATGCTACAGGACAACAAGGCATTCGAACAGCTGCAGACTTATCTAACTCAAAGGTTTAAAAGGCGTCTCATAGCCCTCCTGTCAAAATTAAAACAAGAGAGCAAGATTACCGAAGGCCAATACAGATATCTTTATCCCACAGCAGAGAACACTCATAGAATGTACTGTACAACCAGGATCCACAAGCAGGAAAACCCACTGAGGCCTATTGTGGACTACACTGGATCCATTGAGTACAATGTTTCCAGATCATTAGCAAAGATTCTTGGACCGCTAGTGGGTAAATCGGAACACCATGTAAAGAATTCGAAACATCTAGCGGAAGCTGTCTACCATCATGATTCAGGAAGACGAAGAATTCATTTCACATGATGTTGTCTCTCTTTAACAACACACCCATTGACGACGCACTTAAAATCATTCGGAAACGCTTAGAATTAGACAGATCATGATGCATAAACACAAATTTCCAGATTCAGGACATCATGGATTTTCTGTAACTTGTGCTGACAACAACATATTTTAGTTTCCGAAACAAAATCTATCAACAACGCTTTGGCACTGCCATGGGTAGTCCAGTGTCTCTCATTGTAGCCAATTTGTTCGTGGAACATTTGGAGCAAGAAGCAATAGGCACTGCCCCCATAGAATGCGAGCCTAGCTTATAATAACGACATGTTGACAACATACTTGAGATAATCAAGAAGGATTTGACCAAACATATCAACACAATAGATGCCACTAACAACAACAAATTTACAAGCGAGGAAGAAACCAACGGCACAATGCCCTTCCTAGACACTCTACTGGTAGGTAAGAAGACGGCCCCGTGAAGGTTATGGTCTATAGAAAAAAAGACCCATACGGACCAATATCTTAACTTCGAATCTCGCCATACTTTACAACAGAAGTTAGGCGTCGAATGCACATTGTTCAATATATGTGATACAATAGTCACAGAACAACAGGACAAAATACAAGAGCAGAATAACATCACTAGGGCAATGAGAACATGTGCTCATCCGGAATGGGCCCTAAAACGGGTACAAAAAACAGTGTCAAAGTAAGGGGAAGAACAATAAAAATCAATCACGGATAAGAAAAAAACCAAAGTTCAAGTGGTCATCCCGTAAATAAAGGGTATATCCGAAACAATCTAGAGGATATGTTGCGGCCATGACATAGCAACAGCCATGAAGCCCCACAAGACGCTTCGTAATATTTTAGTACACCCTAAGGATAACACACCTAAAGAAAACGTCGCAGAATGCGTATACAAAATCGGATGCAAAAACTGGAAGGCGATTTTGGGTCCGCCTTGGTGAAACATCGGAAAGATACGGAAACCCACGAAGGTAGGAAATTCACCAGATCAGAAAGGAAGCAGTCGGAGTCCCAGATAAATAAATCGACAATCACAGACCATGCCACACAGAACAAGAAGCACAGAGGGCCTGTATCGCTCAACTGGATATCTAAGCAATCATGGCAAAAT